TCATTTAGAGTGCTTTCAGGGGAAAATTTATTTATTTATTTATTAAAATGTTATTTTTATTGGAAAGGCAGATATACATAGAAAAGGAGATACAGAAACAAAGATTCTCTGTCTGATGATTCACTCTCCAATTGGCTGCAATGGCTGAAGCTGAGCCTGTCCAAAGCCAGGTGCCAGGAGCTTCTTCAGGTCTCCCACGCAGGGGCTTTGTGCTGTCCTTGACTGTTTTCCCTGCCATAAGCAGGGAGCTGTGTGGGAAGTGGGGCAGCTAGGACATGAATTGGCACTCATGGGATCCTGTTGCATGCCAGGCAAGGACTTCAGCCACTAGGCTACCACGTAGGTCTGGAAAATTACATTTGGTCTTTATCTTTCGTTCCGTGAAATTTTAAACATTTGGCCTGCCACATTTTAACATTTTATTCTGGTTTGTAAGTTTTAAGGAACAGTTAATTTGAGCATGAGGTGGTTTTTTTTTTTTTTTTGATTACTAAAATGCTTTCCAATTTCATCCTTGTTCTATACTACTTCATTCTTTCATGTGATTGAATGATTTCATTGTGTGGATATACCTAATTTTGCTTATTTTTGCATAAGCTAAGGAACATATGAAATGTTTCTACCTGTTGACTGCTAATACTGGCCAGATTTCTGTATATGTTTTTTTAAATTTTTTTTGTATTATATGTTGGCAATCTTTACATAGTTAATTAGGGCAAAAAGGTTCAAGGGCTACAGGAAAGTGGGTAAGACTAGTATTTTTCCCTACCTTGTTTCCTTCATGTTTTTTTTTTTTTTTAAAGATTTATTTTTATTATTTTTTCATTGGAAAGGCAGATATACAGAGAGGAGAGACAGAGAGGAAGATCGTCCATCCGATGATTCACTCCCCAAGTGAGCACAACGGGCCGATACTATGCCGATCCGAAGCCAGGAGCCTCTTCCGGGTCTCCCAAGCGGGTGCAGGGTCCCAAAGCTTTGGGCCGTGCTCGACTGCTTTCCCAGGCCACAAGCAGGGAGCTGGAAGGGAAGCGGGGCTGCCGGGATTAGAACCAGCGCCCATATGGGATCCCGGGCGTGCAAGGCGAGGACCTTTAACCCCTTGCGCCACCGCGCCGGGCCCGTGTTTCCTTCATGTTTAAAGAGGAGTATTAAGGGAGAGGGCACACCCAATTGCCCACCCTCCTCAGGTCCCGGAGGTAGGGCATGCTCTGAGGTTCTTGCTCAAGTGGTTTTGATATTTCAACAGTTATGAATTGCTGCCCATTATGCCACTCCAAGCACTATGAGGTCCTTGAAGAATCCACTGATTGACATAGTCCATCAGAGCTGAGATGGTTGGTTGACCTGTTCTGTCTTCTCTCTTTTCTTGGTTAGGATTCTGAGTCCAGCATTTTGATTGGGGAGATCTCCAAAGAAACTTTGAGGTGTTCATAGACCTGATTCCGGTATGTGCTAGCACGTACAGGGCCCAGCACAGTCCTTCACCCTGATCAGCTAGCTGGTGGTTGCAGTTGCAGGGTTGGTTCTGTTTTCAGTCCCGACTTCCACTGGAACCAATGGGTGTTGCAGGCCAGCCTGGTTCTGCCCAGCACATATGTGGCCCTCGCATAAACCAGTGGGAGCTGCAGCCTAGTTGGAGCAACGCGCAATAACCCATACCAGGCCCGCCCCCTACCCTGGTTTGCCAGTATGTGTAGCAGTAGTCCAGTCTGTCCCACATCCCATTACACCCCAGCCGACGTCCTAGTTTTCGTGTCCTCTCGTGGAAGTGGTAACCCAAGAGGGAGGAGCCCACTATTTCCCTCCCAGGCCTCTCCCACTCCCAGATTATGCACTCTCCAGATAATTCTGTGGTTTAACTTGAGAAAACTAACCCCCTAGTGCCAGCTTCTGCCGGCTAATGCTGTGGCTAAGCCCAAACAACCCTCACCCACTCTAATTTTGTTTGCATCGGTAGGAATAATTAGCCCAGCCCGTTTTTTCCCTGATCTAGTCCACATGAGACGTACAGGTGTTGTAGCCCTGCCTAGTCTGGTCTGCCCCCATCCCAGCCCATGTTCTCCAGCGGGAGTAGCTGTCCAGCAAAGAAACCACCCTTTATTCCCCTGCTGGCTCTGCCCCCTCCCTTTCTTGTTCTCATGCTTGCTGGTTGGGTGCTGCGGTCCCTTCTGGTACTGGCAACCTGACCTTGGCATTCTGTATTGTGCACTAGTATTTGTTGCGACCCAACCTGGCTCGACCCACACTCTGTTCTGGTGCTTGGATTTGCCATTGGATAACGTGGACAGATTCAGCCTGGTCTTCCTCCAACCCGTGCCCAATGTATGCCAGTGGGTAACTTTTCATGGCCTGTTCTGGGCTGTTTCCTATCATGTTTCTTGCGTTTACCTGCCGGGTCTGTGTCCTGCCAGAGGAATTGCCCAGGCTCCTCCATCAGAACCTCTCCCAATGCCATGTTTCACGCTTACCAATGGGTCCATGAGCCAGCCCTACTCAGTCCACCTCCTGTGCTAGCAGGAACAGTTGCTTTTCCTGGCTGGCCTTCAACCCAAACTGGTTCTTGCTGTAGATGTTTCATCCCAGCTATGGTTTATCCAATCCCAGTCCACACTTGTGCCAAGGGAGACTACAACCATTTCCAGATCAGAACGCAGCCCCCATTCCAGCCTATGCACCCCTTGGTGGGAACCTCCACCCAGCTAGGGTGTCCCCGTAGCTCCCCAACCAGGCCTGTTCTCAGCCATAGATCACGTGCATATCAGTGGTTGCTCTGACTCAGCTTGGCACAGCCCCTTACCTGTCCTGACCTCTGCCTTAGGCACTGTGGCTTAGTGTTCCTGGCTCATGCAGACCAGTAGGTACAAGAGCCTAGCTCGGCATGACCTGTGTTCCATCCTGGTCTCTAGTTTTGCTTGTGGGCTAAGGTTTGCTCAGTCCTGCCTGATCTTCCCTGTTCCATTACCAATTGACACATTTGCCAGCTGTTGGAGCTACTTTGCCCAACTAGTCCGACCCCCAGGTCTGGACCAAATATTCACCAGCGGGACCTATTGCTCGCCTAGGGACTTTCCCAAGTTCCTCCTCTTAATCCACTCTCAGACTCAGTTCTCATACATGCCATTGTTTTTAGGCTAGTGCCCGGCGCAGTCTGGCCTTCCATTTGTCCTTGTATGAGCTGGTGAACGTTGTAGCCCGGCCCATCTCACACCGTCATCAGGATGTACATTTGGGTGCTGCTGCCCTGACCAGTCCAGTCTGTTGCGGGTTCCTTTACCTGTGATTGATGGCAGGCTGCTTAGTCATACCTAGCTTAGTCCATCCTCATGCCAATTCTTGAGCTAACCAGAAGGGCTAGAATTTTCACAGGGTGTGGCCCACACATCCCTCACAGAATTTACCCCCGGTTATGGTTCTTGAGTGCTAGTTAATGTAATGCCTTGCTTAATGTGACCCTTCTCTTGATCGATCATCATGTCAGGTAACATGATATAATTCTGCAGAACAAGCCCCAAGCCATAGCTTTTGCATGGACTGGTATTTGGTGGTCAGCATTGTTTAGTAATTACAAGTTTTACAGAGGAAGAGTTACTGTCGTTGGGAATCTTTACAAATGCTTCACATCCTAGAAGCACAGTGGGTTCAACCTGGAGCTAAGTAAGCAGCGACTCAAAGAACCAAAATCCCAGAGCTCCCTGGCCGGGTGGCCAGTAGGCAGAGCCTGGCACCAAATGGCTCACTGGCTGCCCGGGGAGAGCTCACCACATGCATATGGTGGCTGTTGTCTGGGATCCAGGCATGAGATGCCCTGTCCTGAGACCCACCAGCAGCCAGGAGGCTGCTAGAAGTTTAAACTCCAGTGCCAAGGTTGCGCCCCTCCCCAATCCCTCTCACCGCCCAATGAGGGCGGTGGATGGGTGGGTCCTGGACGTGCCCAGTCACAGAAGCCTCCCCCTTGGTGTACTCACCCTGAATGGAGCAGACCCCGGAGCCCCTGCTGACCCAGTGACAGTTCACCACATGCATATGGTGGCTGTGGTCTGGGATCCAGGCATGAGATGCCCTGTCCTGAGCTCTGTATATGTTTTTGTTTGGACATTTGCTTTAATTTCCTTAACAATATACCTAGAATTGGAATTGTAGATTCATATAGTAACTCTGTGCCTGCTTGTACAACAAACCAACCAATTCTTTTAAACTGTTACTACAGAGTTTTTATACCTAAATGCAGACTAATTTTTTTTTATTTTTTTATAAAGATTTATTTTTATTTTTTTTTTTATTGGAAAGGCAGATATACAGAGAGGAGAGAGAGAGGAAATCTTCCGTGCGATGATTCACTCTCCAAGTGAGCGCAATGGCTAGTGCTATGCGGATCCGAAGCCAGGAGCCTCTTCCGGGTCTCCCACGCTGGTGCAGGGTCCCAAAGCTTTGGGCCGTCCTGGACTGCTTTCCCGGGCCACAGGCAGGGAGCTGGAAGGCAAGCGGGGCTGCCAGGATTAGAACCGGCACCCATATGGGATCCCGGTGGGTGCAAGGTGAGGACCTTAACCACTTGCGCCACCGTGCCGGGCCCAAAAACTAATTTTTCTTATTTTTGTTTTATTCTTAAAGGCAGACTTCAGGTTTTCTTGTTTCTTTTTTTTGCAAGCTTGCCAATATTTGCTATTTTCCACTTCTTTATTCTTTCTGATGTGTGTTACGTAATAACTCATTGTGACATTGATTTTTACTTCCCAGATGATTAATCGTGCTGAGTATCATTGCATTTAATGTCCATTCATGTGTATTCTGTATGGGAAATTCAGATTTTTTTTCATATAAAAAAACAACTAAAAACTTATTGAATTCAGGATGCAAGTCATATATAGAAATGGCAGATAATTTTCTCATTCTGAGGGTTGTATTTTCATTTTCTTGATGATATTTTTGAACATGGAGATTTCTTTTGATGAAGCCCACGTAATGTATGTTTTCTTTATTCTTTCTTTTTCCTTTTTCTATAGGGGATGGTTGATTTTGTTCTTATAGGGAACAAGTTCTCAGGAACTTCCCTGAATCTGCCTTTCTTTCTCTTGCATTCTTGTATGTCCAAAGGCAAGGAACTACGGACAAGATTTTGAAACAGAGTTTGTTCATTTTTTATGTAAATTTAATGAGGATTTTATCGAATTGGAGCGATGAACGTTTACTCCTATGTCTTCTTTTAATAGTTTTTTATATCTAGTTCTTACCATTAGATGATTGGTTTATCTTGAGTAAGTTTTTATATAAAGAGTCAGGTAATCAGCTGTTTTTTTTTTTTTGCATGTGATTAACCAGCGTGCCAGAATCATTTACGTATTCATTGAATAGTCTTTGTTCTCTTATATGTACTTGATGAGTACAGATTCATGTATTTAGCATTTACTTATAGACTTGGAGTTTTATTCCATGTGTTTGAGTATGTTTCTTTATGCCAATGTTATACAGTTTGGATTACTGTTGTTTGTAATAAGTCTAGAAATATGAAAATCTGTGTCCTAAACTTTGTTCCTTTTTGTCAAGATTGTTTTGACAAATTTGCTTTCTAACATGTTTGTGTGAGTTTCAGATTCAGCTTGTAGATTCTGAATAAGATTGTTGCTGAATCTAAGTCAAGTTGGGAATATCATGATCTTACTAACACTAAAGTCCCTTTAAAAAAAAATAGATTGATTGGAAAAGCAGAGCACCAGAGAAAGACAACAAGAGACAGGTAATCTTCTATCCACTGGTTCAGTTACCAAGTAGATACAGGATTACGGTCTAGAGCAGACCAATACCAGGAGACAGGAGCTTGGTCTGCCACGTAGGTAGAAGGTGCTTGTGTACCTAGACCATCTTCTGCTGCCTGTCTAGTCATATTGTGAGAGACTGGATTGCAAGTGGAGTTGCCAGGATTCAAAGTAGGAATCCACTATGGATGTCATCATCAAAAACAGCAGCTTAACCTCCTTTGCCATGGTACTGACCTCTTTTACTTGCTTTTACATTCAGTTTATGTTAGTGTTTTTTACTTTGGTTGAGGTGTAGAAAAGAAATCCAAGTTTATACGGATGTCTAGTTCAAAAAGGGAGTAGTATATTTATTTATTATTTTGTTTGTTTTATGACACAGTTTAATAAGTAGTGGGGTTTCCCCTTCATCTCCTCCAGGTTCCCTCCCTTCCCTACTGATTTCCCCTCCAGTTTTACAATAGGTGTCATTTGTGAACTTTCACAAGTCTATCTTGCTGCCACTGAGGTGTCTCCCAACAATGTAGATGAAGACATTGTTGGGAAGCCTAACATCTAACCTTCAGGACATGATCAGCCGTTTCACTAGGAGTCCATCCTTGTACTGCATGCAAGGAGACATATTTCTCTCTGTTTCCACCTATGAACATACCAATTTCCACTGTGCTTCCATTATGTATCCCTTTCATTTCAGAGCCAGTGTACACAGTCCACAATGGGGAGAAAAATAGTGAACTTACATCCACATGAACATGTTCATGAACATGTAACAATGATATAAACATGAAAAAGAGTGTCAAGAAACTTCATGTAGGAATAGATGCCAGCTTCTGACCCATGTGGCACTAATGAAAGTACAATAAAGACTAGAAATCATTACTTATGAAAAGTAGAAATAATAGTGAGAAAAGGTGTGTTAATCTCAGGTGATTATAAGGAATCAGTGTCATAGATGATTGATTAATTAATTACATCACAAGAGCTTATTGAGGGAGGTATAAATAGCTAGGAAGTGCAAAAAAGGTAAAATTCACAGGAAAAATACTTAGATTGGACATTGTTTTACTGTAAATTGAAACAAGAAAGAACCATTGCGAGAGATGACATGGAAAACTTCCCCTAGTCCTGTTAGCATTGAGTGTCATCAGGGCACAGTCTCTTAAAATTAGATATATGTCTCTGCGCCTGCAACTATATGTTGTAGAGTATTTCCAACTTTTTATTTCAAAAGTTTGATGGTTTCTGGGCATAGGTTTAAATCTTTTATTCGTTTATATTTGGTCTTTGTGTATGGTGAAAGGTGTGGGTCTTGTTTCTTATTTCTGCAGTCTGCTATCCAATTGTCCCAGCATCATTTATTGTATCCTTTATCCTTGTTTGTCTAATACTCTATCCTATGTTGCTTTTTTGGGAGAGGGTGGCAGCAGATAGTGTCATGAGTTATATCTGTCAGTATTTGTTTCCACATTTCTTGAGTATTTTTCTGTTGTCTTACCTCTTCGTTACTTTATCTGCCATTTATCTTTATAATTTTTTTAAACCTTCATTAGTATCTGTTACTTGCTCTTTTCATGCACAGTAAAAAAAGAAAAAAAATTGTTGAAGAGATTGTCAAGGTTTATTGGAGAGCATTTATAAAATGCTGATGATACTACCTGTGTTGTAAATGTTCAGTAACTACAAGTAGAGCTATTTAAATTGGTAGGACAATATCATTATTGTTCTTTCACTGTCATGTGTGTATAGTTGTTACAAATTCAACAAAGGAAAGTATGTACTAAGCATTTAATGTCTCGTATATACAGCATAAACTTTATATATATGTGTGTATATATATGTATATTTAAATTAAATTAAATTATTCCATGATACAGTTCGATGGTTCTTGGATTTCCCTTCTCCCCTCCCCGAATCTCTGCCCCCACACTGTATTCCCCCATATTATTACAATAGTACAATAAGTGGTAAGTCCATCATTCTGTTATTTAAGTGCAAAATAAATTTGTTACTGAGGTCCCTGAGAATTCTGAGAATTTTCTCAATATAACATACTTGCATCCAAAATTAAAGTATAACATTTTTAAGAAGGAAAATATGTATTCCCATATAATACTTGAGAGAGTGTAACAGCATTATAGAAAAATTTTATCATGCAATTAGGTAACTGACTCTCTCTGTATTCTACATCTCTGCTTGTGAAGTCAACTTAGCCTTTGGCAACCAGTTCACATAAGACTATAGAATATTTACAGCAAAGTTTTGTAGTCACTTGAACCATTTGCTGCTTAGTTTTAGATTTTATACCTGTTAAATTTTTGAAATTCATGTGCAAATTTGGCATGTAGTTGTCATTCCTCAGTGCATTCTCATAGTTCTCTGACATATTAAATTTTATGTAGTAAATTTCACTAAAAAATAATACTTGATTCTATTTTGAACAACCAGAACAGTATATTGAAAAACAAATTAATTTCAGCATTTCATTTGGTTATATCAGAAAAATTGGGTAAAAATCAATTATTCTGCAATTTTAGTTTATTCAAATGGATTTACTGCTGAATGGATCCTTTGATTTATTCAAATCATATTTTATTTTTAAGATTTGACTGTTTTTTTTTTGTGCCATTGCAGATAGTGTTTGTAAAGCTCATGTTCCTTACAGTGTGAAGAGTTATTTTTCTTAAACTTTTTGGATACTTTCATATTAACCTGACTTCATTCCTCTGTTGCAGAGGGTATTAATTACTCAGAAAAGTTTATTTTGTGGTAACAGGGTTTTGTTCTTTCTTTCCTTCCTGTTCTTAAAAGCTGTTTGAATTGTTGGGACCTGAAGGACTTGATTTAATTGAGAAACTCCTCCAGAACAGAATTACAATTGTGGATAAATTCCTTAATTCTTCAAATGATCATAAACTTCAGGCTCTTCAAGGTAAGAAAGTACACAGTGGCCATTCTAGAAGAATGATTAGTTGCCTAAAAGATCTTTTTAATGTAATTTATATTTACTGATATGGTTCTGCAAAGGAGCTTTTAGATAAATCAGATTGTAAGACTAATGTAAGTTATCTAATCAGCATATTACAGCTATGTTTGACAGTGCCAGGTTTTTTGTTACTGTTTTTCCTTTGTTTTGTGGAATTTTTTTTCTGTTAATAGCCATACATACTTAAAATTAAATATATATGTTAACTACTATTTACTTATGTAATTTTTTCTCAACATTTTACTCTAAAACATTCAATCCTATAGTAAAAGTACAAGAATAACACAGTGTTCTTACCCACTTTCCTGTAGCCCTTGAACCTTTTTACCCTAATTAATTATGTAAAGATTGTCAAAATATTAAAAAATAAATTTAAAAAAATTTAAAAAAAGAATAAAACAGTAAACATTTGCATATCATTTATAACAATTTCATCAAGCATTAACATTTTGGATCCATTGTTCCCCTGTGTGCATGACACATACACACTCTTAACATTTTAAAAGTTCACTGTATAGCTGCAGCGTTATAGCAGTGTATTTCACCTTTAAAATCTTTACATATCTAAGAAGAATGTCATTCCTGTGCTTCCTGCAGTGCAGTTGGCAGATGCAGTAAATTGAACACTTTAGTGTCACACATTACATATATTTTAAAAACCCGTAAGAATTAAGGAAAGTTGACTGGGCAGCCAAAATTATTTAAAAAAAAAAATAACTTTGACTTGTCATGACATGGCTAGTTTTTTTTTTTTTTTTTTTTTTTTTTTTTTTATTGTTGCTTACACTGTATTGTGTAGTACAGTTTTATAGGCGCTGGGGATTCCCCCCACCCCTCCCCATACCCCTCCCCCCATGGTGGATTCCTCCACCTTGCTGCATAACCATAGTTCAAGTTCAGTTGAGATTCATTGCTTGCAAACACATGCCTAGCATAAAGTTCAGCGTCTTATTGTCCAGATAAGTTCAGTGGCCTCCTGGGGAGACCTTCTATGGTCTGAAGATAGGTCTAACAGAGTAAAGATCCGGTCGGTTAAAAGCCCCAACAAGGCCTCAGTATCAATATACAACATTATGGAATTAATTGACATAGTATTGGGTAAACAATATGTTAAAAATAATGCAAGTTCCATTCTTCGAAACATCTGGGTTGAGACAGCATCAATGACACGTTCAAAAAATAACAAACAACCAAACAATAAATTACAGGTTAAATCAAGGCGAACATGTGGTATCTAATCTTTTGGGATTCACTCATTTCCCTTAGCATTATAGTTTCCAGTTGTGCCCATTTAGCCACAAAGAACTGCATTTTGTTTTTTTTAACAGCTGAGTAGTATTCCATGGAGTAGATGAACCAAAGCTTTCTTATCCAATCTTCTATTGATGGGCATTTCGGTTGCTTCCATGTTTTTGCAATTACTGATTGTGCTGCAATGAACATGGGGATGCATGTTGGTTTGTCGTAAAACAGGTGTTTTGGATATATTCCTAGGAGTGCTATTGCTGGGTCATATGGCATGCAGATTCCGAGTTGTTTGAGTGTTCTCCAGACTGATTTCCATAAAGGCTGTACCAATTTGCAGCTCCACCAGCAGTGGAGTAGGGTTCCCTTTTCCCCGCATCCTCGCCAGCAAGCGTTCCTCCTACGTCGGCCATCTTCTCTCCCATTCCGACATGGCTAGTTTTAAGTAATAAACAAGAAAACGAAGTTTCTCAATTTATCTAAATGTTCATTGGCAAGCTAACTGATGGTCTTAAAAAGTACAGACATGATTGCTTGCAGTGTGTGACTATCAGAAGTTAGACTCCTTCTTCAAACTACTCACATAAATTCTTCTATGCAAGCTGTGTTATCATTTTCTTACATTTATGGTTATGGCACTAAACGGAAATAATAAAAGCTTGATTTAAATTGAAAATTTTCTATAGGTGTTCTTGATTATTGATAAGTGCCCTGAGAACCCTAGAGTTGTGTTGAAGTTGCTAGAAACTTACAAAATCTGAATTTGTTCCCATGGTTCTTTAAGTGTATTGAAAACTGGTAAACTGCTTGCTCCAAAAGACTTCCTGCTTATACAGTTGTGTGTAATCAGATGGCAGTAGGACCCAGGATTTAGAAGCATTTGAAATCAGTGTCTGTATAAGAAGGAAAGAAGTGATTTTAAATATTCCAATTCTGTGAAGTTAACTACTATTTTGTGAAGATAATTTGGTGTTTCATTGTTTAGGGCTTTTGTATGTTAATGTAAAGATGTTTGCTGATTCAGTTTTTCCATTTGCTAATTAATAATGTTTAAGATTAGTCTTACATCAGATATGGATTTGGAATATGATGGTGACTTATTGCTTAAGTTCTGCTCATTTGATTTTATCTCTTTTATGATTTTTATTGTTATTAAGGTAATAGCTTCTTTGAAACAAAGTTTTAAACTCAAAGCAAATGTTTACCTGTAATTACTAAAATATGTATGTTTAGGCCAAGATTCTGTCCCCAAAGGTATTCTTGGTATTCTCAAACTGCTTCTTTTATTCCATGCTGCATCATTATCACTTTTATGTAAGAGGTTTTATGTAAGAGGGCTTTTGTATACGTAAGAAGTTATTTCCCTTAAATATTTGGTGACATAAAGAAATACTCTTGTAGAAAAATGTCTTTTAATTCTTACAACTTCATCATTGTCATCAGTGTTCCCATTCACTTATACTCTTCTATACAAGTTTTGTGTTTAATGATCTTTCATAATTCTCTCAAAAAGTTACAAATCTCATTCCATCCTTTGCATTGTTTTCCAAAGTTAGTGTCTTTGAGTGCAGTGATTTCTTTTCCTTTAGCATATGCTAGCTTTGATTCTGCTTTTCTTTGAGCTTTTTTATCCACATAAACATCTATTCTGCTCTAAAGCCTTTTATAACCAAGAAGTTCAAGATAGGTGAGAAGTGATTTGGTCCAGGGTATTGACCTCTAAATTGAAGATAGTTGTGAATCAACTTCTGTTTTCAGAGCTTATATATGAAGATTGGTTAGTATAGAGGATGTACTGCAATCAAAATTTAGTTAATTCATGCTGTCAAGTGACAGTATTTGCATAGTTTTATAATTACATATTTTCATAATTTCATTCTAAAAGGATATAGGATGTTTTATTATTTATTAAAACCTTATGTTAGAATTACTAAGATTATTCATTTTTTTCTGCTTGTCTGTACAGTTTACTTAACTAAAGGAGAGCCGTAAATTCAAGTTTTTGTTGATTTGGACCCCCTCCTTTTTTTAATTACCTAATGTGTTTAGTCTTACAGGATCCTGTATACTTTTATTGGGAGTTTATATAAAGCTTTCAAAGAGGTAGACGTTTTTTCTTGTAATTTTATTTTCTTTGTTTAAATGAATACAACTATGAATGCTAGTGTTTAGTTGCTATCACATTTGTTTAAAATGATAAGGACATTAATGTAGTGTTTGTCACCCAAAGAATTTAGAGTTTGACACTTAAATTCCTTAACATTAATTTCTCATGAGCATGTCTAGTATTCACTTTTTAAATTTGATTATTTGTTTTTAAATGAAAGAATTTTTTTTTTGAGATTTGTATTTTCTTTGAAAGGCATAGTTAGAGGAAGAAGAGAGAAAGGGAGACAAACCAAGAGAAAAGAAATCTTGAGTCTGCTGGTTTGTACCATAAATGACTTGCACCAGCCAGGGCTGGGCTAGGCTGAAGCCAGTTGCCTGAAACTTCAACTGGATTTCCCATACAGGTGGCAGAGGCCTAAGTGCTTACACTATTTTCTGCTGTTTTCTCAGATGCATTAGCAGTGAACTTGTTCAGAAGTGGAGCAAGTAGCCAGGGCTTGAACCCCAATCCTTGTATGGACTGCTCACTTTAACCCATGTCACCCCACGCCTTCCCGTATTCACACTTTTACATATTCTGTTTTTTATTTGTGATTTTTTTATAGACAACTTTAATGCTTAGCTCAAAACATATGCGAAAACTGTTTTGAATGCTGTACCTAATCTTTTCCTGACACTAAAAGTTATTTACCAATTCAATTGTTAACATAGGTGTATATGGGTATATTTTGATTCCTGCTGTATGTAAGAATTCATGAAAGTTAGCATTAAGCTTTGGGAGGTAGGAGGAAGTATTGCTAACTTTTCTTAAACCATTATGGAGTACTTACAACTATGGTTAAAAGCTTTCCTTAAGACAAGTAATTGAAAGTGTCAACTTTTTAAAAATGCCTTTATGTTGTGTTGTTTTGGTGAGAAGAGGTTCTTATAAAGATTAAATCATGTCTGAGGTTTATAAACATTATGTTCCTTAAATTTGTTTCATAGACAATTGCAAAAAAATTTTAGGAGAAAATGCTAAACCAAATTATGGCTGCCAAGTCACTATTCAGTCTGAACAAGAAAAACAATTAATGAAACAATATCGCCGTGAAGAAAAGAGAATTGCCAGACGAGAGAAAAGGACTGGGGAAGATGTGGAAGGTTCAGAAGGACTTGTGAACTTTGATCCTAAAGAATTAAGAATACATAGGTAATAAAAGCAAGACCCTAAAAATACTTTGTTGTAATTACTACTTTTACTTGCCATCACTCTTTGTTTAGTTTTTAGCAATTACGATGATTGTTATTTCTATTCATGTTTTCTTACAAGAACAGAATTTTGTTTTATTAAAACCTTATTTTCTGGGATAAGAAAGCAATGATTGCTTAATTAGAATGATCTTGGTTTTATCCATATGGGTGACAGATTTAGATTATAGATAGAAGCTATTTTTAGATGCAGTGCATTTACCACTATGTTAAGATTTATAAAATCGGGCCCGGCGCGGTGGCGCAAGTGGTTAAGGTCCTCGCCTAGCACGCCCGGGATCCCATATGGGCGCTGGTTCTAATCCCGGCAGCCCCACTTCCCTTCCAGCTCCCTGCCTGTGGCCTGGGAAAGCAGTCGAGGACGGCCCAAGGCTTTGGGACCCTGCACCTGCGCGGGAGACCCGGAAGAGGCTCCTGGCTTCGGATCGGCATAGTATCGGCCCGTTGCGGCTCACTTGGGGAGTGAATCATCGGATGGAAGATCTTCCTCTCTGTCTCTCCTCTCTGTATATCCGCCTTTCCAATGAGAAAATAATAAAAATAAATCTTTAAAAAAAAAAAGATTTATAAAATCTACATGAATTTAAAAATAATAGTAGGCATGTGCTATAACCTGTTCAGCTAACCAAAGAATTTCAGGACAGCTGGTGTATTCCTTTGGGAGTTTAACTTCTTTTCTTTTATAATGGAAGACTACATGAATAAATACAATAGTAAAGTAATATAAAAAGACTATGCTTTCCTTTTCAAGGTAAGAATTTCGTATTCACTCTGCTGCTTTTCTGTTTGTAGAGAACAGGCTCTACTGAATGCTAGAAATGCACCACTTCTGAGCAGACAGAGAGACACGGAGACTGAAAAAATACGTTTTCCACATGTTTATGATTCCCAGGCTGAAGCTAGGAAAACATCTGCGTTCATTGCTGGTGCAAAGGTATGTTACTGGGATAGAAGCGTTTGGGATAGTAAGTCTGCTGTGGGGAAATGACACAAGTTTTCACATGCTCCTTTTTGAGGCTAGGTCTAGTTGACTAGATGATACTAAATTGTATTTTAAAAATACTAGAGAAAGTAGGATAACAATGCAAAATTGTGGCACATTACAGATGCTTATTAAGCATGCTTGTTCACATGCCTTCCATTAGTTTTAAAATTTGTATTTTTATCTTTCACATCACTGTTGAATTTTGTCCTGTTTGTTGTACATTTTCCTAGTTAAATGAGTAGATTTGTTTTGAAGAATGCTAATTAATGTATACATTAAGATTCATCAGTGTACTGTGACCTGTGTGTTATATGAGATGTTTCGTATTTGAGTGTTTTGTGATTCTATGATTTTTCGTATTTGATTTTCTTTAGATTAGATAAATGTATTTAGCAGTGTCATGTCATAAAACCAGAAAAATATCCCCTCTCCATGCTCATTAAATAATATTCACCAAAGCAGTTTTTTCGTTTTTTTCTTGTTATTTGACATCTTATTTTTTTTTGGTTTTATAGATGATTTTACCAGAAGGTATCCAGAGGGAGAACGACAAACTTTGTGAGGAAATTAAGATTCCCTATAGTGAGCCAATGCCAATTGGGCTTGAAGAAAAGCCAGTTTATATCCAGGACTTAGATGAGGTGAGATGAGTCTTATAATTTTGGTGGTATTGACATGTGATATGTATTATGAATAGATTTGTGCTGTAAAATTATTTTTCAAAGTCAACAATTGGCTAATATATTACATATATAGTTGATTACTAAGCGGTACAGTAAAACATGCATATACTACTTCATGCATAAATAATTTTAATGTATTTTGTGCAAGTATATGTTTTCATTTTTATTTCAACTAGTTTGGTAAATATATGAACGGATTTAAGTAAAATATTTTAAAGTATTTGTATCCTAGTTATATGTCAAATGTGTAATCTAGAATGAAAACAAATACTTTGGGAGTTCTAAAGCATTTTATTTTCTTTGAATCTTATAATTTGACTACTATCAAACCTGTGAACAGATGTATTAGTAGTATTATTTATATCCCCTTTACTTAAATCCAATACTTACTAAAATTTTGCCACATTTGCCTTATTTTGGAACATTTCTTAATTTAAAGAATATGTGTAATTGAACGTCTCTTTTTTTCATCATCAAATGAAATTGCTGCCATTTTTCCATGCGTAAATCATATGTGGTCAGCCCAGAGCAGCCCGCCAGATGAACTCCATTCTCTATTTAGGTCTGCATATGTATTTTCTTTTACAAAAACAAAATTATGCCATATTGTTATATGTTCATATGTGTATACATAAAAGCTGTATGTACACATATATCTTTGTATAGAAATCATATCATTTATGCAGAATCTTTTTTTTTTAAATTTTGAATCTTTACATAGTTAATTAGGGTAAAAAGGTTCAAGGGCTACAGGAAAGTGGGTAAGACTAGTATTTTTCCCTACCTTGTTTCCTTCATGTTTAAAGAGGAGTATTAAGGGAGAGGGCACACCCAATTGCCCACCCTCCTCAGGTCCCGGAGGTAGGGAATGTTCTGAGGTTCTCGCTCAAGTGGTTTTGATATTTCAACAGTTATGAATCGCTGCCCATTTTGACACTCCAAGCACTATGAGGTCCTTGAACCCACTGATTGACATAGTCCATCAGAGCTGAGATGGTTGGTTGACCTGTTCTGTCTTCTCTCTTTTCTTGGTTAGGATTCTGAGTCCAGCATTTTGATTGGGGAGATCTCCAAAGAAACTTTGTCTGAGATGTTCTCAAACCAGATTCTTGTATGTGCCAGCAAGTACAGCGGCCAGCACAGTCCATCGCCCTGATCAGCTAGCTGGTGGTTGCAATTGCAGGGTTGGTTCTGTTTTCAGTCCCGACTTCCACTGGAACCAATGGATGTTGCAGTCCAGCCTGGTTCTGCCCAGCACATATGTGGCCCTCGCATAAACCAGTGGGAGCTGCAGCCTAGTTGGAGCAACGCGCAATAACCCCTACCAGGCCCGCTCCCTACCCTGGTTTGCCAGTATGTGTAGCAGTAGTCCAGTCTGTCCCACATCCCATTACACCCCAGCCGACGTCCTAGTTTTCGTGTCCTCCCGTGGAAGTGGTAACCCAAGAGGGAGGAGCCCACTATTTCCCTCCCAGGCCTCTCCCACTCCCAGATTATGCACTCTCCAGATAGTTCTGTGGTTTGACTTGACAGAACTAGCCCCTAGTGCCAGCTTCTGCCAGCTGATGCTGTGGCTAAGCCCAAACAACCCTCACCCACTCTAATTTTGTTTGCACCAGTAGGAATAATCAGCCCAGCCTGTTTTTTCTCTGATCTAGTCCACATGAGACGTACAGGTGTTGTAGCCCTTCCTAGTCTGGTCTGCCCCCATCCCAGCCCATGCTCTTCTGCGGGAGTAGCTGTCCAGCAAAGGAACCACCCTTTATTCCCCTGCTGGCTCTGCCCCCTCCCTTCCTTGTTCTCATGCTTGCTGGTTGGGTGCTGCAGTCCCTTCTGGTACTGGCAACCTCACCTTGGCATTCTGTATTGTGCACTAGTATTTGTTGCGACCCAACCTGGCTCGACCCACACTCTGTTCTGGTGCTTGGATTTGCCATTGGATAACGTGGACAGATTCAGCCTGGTCTTCCTCCAACCCGTGCCCAATGTATGCCAGTGGGTAACTTTTTATGGCCTGCTCTGGGTTGTTTCCTATCATGTTTCTTGCGCTTACCTGCCAGGTCTGTGTCCTGCCAGAGGAATTGCCCAGGCTCCTCCATCAGAACCTCTCCCAATGCCATGTTTCACGCTTACCAGTGGGTCCATGAGCCAGCCCTACTCAGTCCACCTCCTGTGCTAGCAGGAACAGTTGCTTTTCCTGGCTGGCCTTCAACCCAAACTGGTTCTTGCTGTAGATGTTTCATCCCAGCTATGGTTTGTCCATACCCACATATGGCTCACACATGGCTCAGTAGGAGTTTGAGACCTTGCCTAGTCCATCGCACATCTACCCTGCTCCTCTAGGACAGCAGAGGGTGTTGGGGTCCGGCCCGGCTTGGTGCATCCAATCCCAGTCCACACTTGTGCCAAGGGAGACTACAACCGTTTCCAGATCAGAATGCAGTCCTCATTCCAGCCTATGCACCCCTTGGTGGGAACCTCCACCCAGCTAGGGTGTCCCCGTAGCTCCCCAACCAGGCCTGTTCTCAGCCATAGATCACGTGCATGCCAGTGGTTGCTCTGACTCAGCTTGGCACAGCCCCTCACCTGTCCTAACCTCTGCCTTAGGCACTGTGGCTTAGTGTTCCTGGCTCATGCAGACCAGCAGGTGCAAGAGCCTAGCTCGGCATGACCTGTGTTCCATCCTGGTTCTAGTTTTGCTTGTGGGCTAAGGTTTGCTCAGTCCTGCCTGATCTACCCTGTTCCATTACCAATTGACACATTTGCCAGCTGTTGGAGCTACTTTTCCCAGCTAGTCTGACCCCGTAATAAAGAGGAGAGCCATAAAGGATTTTTATTTGCTGATTCACTCTCCAAGTCAATGCAGTGACTGTAGTTGAACTGAACTGATCCAAAGACAGGAGCCAGGAGGGTCTCACACATAAATGAAGGCACCCAAGAAATTAACCCATTCTCCATTCCTTTTCCTGGGATAAGCAGGCAGCTAGATTAGGAGTAGAGTACGCAGGACATGGGAGCAGTGTCTATATGGGATGCTATACCAGTGTGCAAACCCTTGCAATGTCATTTTAAAACCTATTAAACAGTAATCTGTAGATCTTTATTATATTTTTAAAAGGCTATATATTTGAAATAGATAGTGACGGAGAAAGAGGAAAAGATGTAGAATCTATGCACTATTTTCTTTGCCCCCTGGTTGCAGTGGCAGGAGCTGAGGCAAACCAAAGCCAGGAATTCAGTGGTTCTTTTGGATATCCCATATGAGTACAGGGTCTGAAGCACTTTGTCCGTCTTTCACTGCTTTAGCAGGTGCATTATCAGGAAGCTGGATGGGAAGTGAAGTAGTCAGATCTACAACCAATGTCCACATTGCAGTTAGAGGCTTAATGTGCTGTGCAACGACATCACCCCACCCAAGCTGTAGATTCTTTAACACATGAGGGATATAATCCGAAAATGATTGATAAGCGATAAGAAAATTTATTTTTTAGAGGGGGGAAAACATAATATAGAGAGCGAATTAACTGATTGTTCCATGCTCCAAATATCTGCAACAGCCAGTCCTAGTCCAGCAGCCTGAAATTACATGCAGGTCTCATACATGGATTGCAAAGGCTTTAAACATTGAGCCATCCTCTGCCGCCTGCTAGAAAGTGTTAGCAGGAACTGTATCAGAAATGGAGAAGCTCCGTGGGATATTTACGGTAGCTTAAACTGTGGCACTTTAATACCCATTCTAAAGACACATTTTTAAATAGTCTGTAAATGTGTGTTTTTGGATGCAAGGACTAAAACTTTGAAAATGAAAAATTTGTAGAGCTGGAATTCAAAAACTGACTGGAAGTTTTTAACAGTAGTATGGAGATGACAGAAGTAAAGATCTTAGAAGGTAGGTCAACAAAAGCTATACAATTTGAGATATATAGAGAGAAAAAAGAACAAATCCTCAGGTTACCTGTGGGACAATAATGATTTATCTTACACCTATGTAGTTGAAATCCTGGAGGGATAACAGTGAGAAAATCTGGCAGGAATTAACATTCTTTCTTTCCCTCTCTCCATACATACACATGTGTATATATTGGTAAAAAAACATGTTTACAGGTTTAAAACAAATAGTTACTCTTAAAGAAAGTAAATACTGTTATGTCGGTATATCATAACTAAATTCTTTAAAAAATAGTATGTGTAGATATGTACTTTGATGCTTCTGTGTCTTATGCTCTTGGGGTGTGTGAATAGCGTTTTCTTTCCTCAGTTGCTAAATGAAAGTTATTATCACTAGTAATGCAAAGTATGTTTTGGAGCAGATGTGGCAGATGTTTTATTATACTAGAAAAATACCCATCTTACAGTTTTTATTAGTTGCATATTACAGGAATGTTTTAACAGTTTACTAATTGTTACATATTCTTAGAGTCACATTTTGTATAAAATATGTAATGCTTTTTATTATGAAATAGCTTACTGAAATACTAAAGGGACTATATTTTTAGGCCTTTATAAGATGAGAACTAGCATAAATGTGAAGCCAAGGTTATAATATTGTTCAGAGCTAATTTTTTGTATACATGGTGTTATACTGTATCCTTTATAGACATGTGAACATTTTGGAGGGAGAAATGCAGGGTAAGGGGAGGCAATGGAAAAATCCATCCAAATATGAACATTCTTTGTAGGTGGGAGAGGTTCATTCTCTCAGTCTCCGAATTGAAAATCATTGGATCTCAATGATGTATTTTACAAATAAAAAGTATATGAAATTGAGAAACACTGTTCTGTTTGGATGTCAGGGATGGAAGCCTTGGAAATAAAAGGGGAGGACCAGTAGTGAGAAAACTAATCTTGTGTTTTGAGAACAACTTCTGTGCTGTTCTATAAAGCAGTCGCTAGCTTTGTATAAATTCAAGTGCATTGAATTAAAATTTCTATTTATGGGGCTGGCATTGTGGTAAACC